ACAAAAATCTCAATCATACACCAATTACACACTTACCTCTCTGATTGTTTTGGTCCATCCTGCGTTTCTCTCTGAAAACTCAAATAACTCTCAGGCCTCATCTGCTAGTGAAAAGCATTAGTGTTAAGAGTGTATCTCTAGATCTTCATGTTCACTACTCTTTCTAGAAAATGTCAGAACCTTTATATAATTAACATGTGGGGAAACTTCTCTCTGCTCAGGGTTATTTGCTTCTGGAAAAGCAATACCTGATTTCCTTTCAAAGCTACTGATAGCAATTTTCACCCACTTGCTAATAAAATATCTTATGTCTCAGAGGAGAGCAGTGACAAATCAACACTTGTATTATTCAGACTAGTTAATTAAAAGAGTGATTTATCAATTTAAAATTCCAAATCCCTTTTGCTTACTTTTTTTTTTGCCTTTGTTGCTTAATTATACAAATGTAAATCCACCTTTAATAACCATATTTGTCCATCATCCAAAGCTCACAATGTCCTTGGTGATCTCAAATTCTATGATAAATGCCCTGCAGGCAGTTTGATAAGTTGGACTTTACACAATAAAATCACACTGTTATTGTCATCCTCACTGAAACATTGTAGTTTTTTCCTTCCAAAATAAAGCTTTAATAGTCTGGGCAATACAAAACTACACAGGACATTCCAGTCCCACTCTTGAGAGCATTTTAAGCCAAGCCATCTACTGACACCATTTATATATCCTCCTCTACAGTGGAGAGTAAGTTATTTTTCCTGCCCCCACAGAGAAAAATGTAATAAGTCAGACCCCATTCCAAATTTCCTATTGCACATCTGATTTAAGGTTAAGTAGTATGCAAAGGAGCATCGAGCCTGTGCATTATTTTGAATATTAATTAAATTAAAAATAGGAAGCAATATGATGCAGGTTCATGGTGTTAGAAATATCTGTTCTTTCTCTCAGAGCCATATGCTTGCCACTGTTGCTGTGTGGGCAGGCTGGAGAAGGTGCAGCCTTAGAGCTGAAATTGTGTGATTTCCACACACCATTCCAGGCTGCAGAATACAGGCAGATTTCATGTAGTGTATATCAGACTAAAGAAAGAGAAGTGTGAGTGGGTTTTTTGTTGCTGCATACTTCCTCATTTTTTTCTCCAACATGACAGTTGATGGCCAGCTTCCATCAACTGCACCATCATCATCTTCAGTGTGAACCCATCAGCTGTGTGCAGGGTGAGACTGTGCTATGCAAGGCAGCATATTAGGACATTCTGCAGCAATTTCTAATGCACAGAGTGTAATATGTAATGTTTTCTTTACTCTCTTCTTCTATTTTTTTTTCAGTTGTCCTGTCGGGACATACAAGTTACAGAAAAGATCCTAGAGGCACTTTTTGGACTGAGAAATATTCCAATTCCTGTTATTAGGGCTATCACATCTTCTTGATGTTGCAGTACTTCTGTTCACACTATCCATCATGAAATAGGAGAAAGATGAGCATTTCTTATAATTTCTAGGCAAGAGTAAGTTAATAGAGGCAAATTTGGAAGTGATGCAATCTATGGCTTGTTCTTGTACAATGAGAGAATTTGTGGAAGTAACATTTGATTTCCAGTCAGGACTCTTCTAAGCATTGCTTTTGGGTAAGAAACAGCAACATTGCCTTTGTGTTCCTGTTTCATGTTACTAATTAACATGGTAACTGTCATCAAAAGGCCAGTAGGCATTGATCTGTTGATCTCCCAAAGTGATTAGCAACATGAAATTTGCTAATAGGATTTGCCTGAAACAGCACCAAAAAGCAGAAAGGCCAGTTTCACCTATGTAACAATTTAATGTAGAAGGGCTGTCACATCCAAAGGGTGACTGTTTAGTTCTCATATTAAATAATACTGATATTGCAACTGTACACAAATGTTGTATATAGCTATTCTTGCAATGAATGCAGACCCTTCATTAACCTAGCACAAGTCTGCAATGCTAAATCCTTCCATATGAAAAATTCAATGACAATACTTAGATGAACTTCTCTCAGTAGGATTATGAATACTTGCTAATTTTGTTATGAAAGTGTTTGAAGAGATACCATGATTAGATAAAATGGATGTCAATAAAATAAAGAGAATCTGTTAAAAAATTTCTTTTATTTTTAGTATTTCTATTTCTTATTCAAGTGGAAATGTGAAAAAGAGACTCTGTGTATTTTTCTCCACATGTATGAGAGAGAGAGGAAGATTTGGCTGAATGATGACTTCCTAGAAAGAAAGTGACAAAGATTATCTATTTGCCCAGATTCATTTCACAGGGCATTTTCCGTGATCAAAGAAGCTAAAGAAAATGTAACTGTCATGTACAGCTCTCCCATTAATTTCTTGTAATAGAATTTAGGTTGTGATTGGATCTGTTAGTAAGGTAGTTGTGGGATGGAATGCGATAAAAAAACCCAATATTTTCCCAACATTTCATAAGTGGCCAAGAAATTTCTTCTTAAAATCCATGATACTTAGACAGCAGTAATTTTTAAGTGTTGAAAAGGTTTTCCACAAAATAGAATATTGAAATAGTATAATTTACATAATAATAGTTTGATTTACATATTTATTAGTTTAATTTCATTTGCCACAAACAAAATGTTCTAATCTGGTTACAGGATGTGGTAGGGGAAAAACAGTTTTCTCCCTGAAGTTATAAAATGGTAAAACCCCAGGGAGTGGTGACCCTTGAGAATTTTAGCCAATGAGCGCTTTTGCAAAATATAAACATATCACAAGCAGAACAGAAGAGAAGGTAGTTGTAGTTGTTGTAGAAGAAGTAGCCATGTTGTGAAGCCACGAGGAGAAGCAGCAGCAGCCCCACTGGGGTCTGGGCCTCCCCCAACCCCTGGCTGGGGGCTACAGGGCCTTGGAACAGTGTAAGACTGGGCTAAGTACCGTAGTTAGAAAACTGGGGGATGCTTCTCCACCATCATCAGCAGCAGCAACAGTGACAGAACTGCACTGACCAGAGAAACGGTGGCAGAGAGCCGGAAGAGATAAGACCAAGCAACAACGACAGGCATGCAGCAATACAGAGAGAGAGAGCCGAGAGAGAGCCAGCAACAGAGAGAGAACTAGGCTCTACACAGAGAGAGAGAGAAAGTTGGGGTAAGAACTGAACAAAACAAACCCCAAACTCCTTGGAGACCCCTCCTAGAGAGAGGAGGATGATGGACTCTTACTTGAAAGAGTCTTAGAGTGCTAGAACACTGCAGAGAGAAGCTGAAAAGTTCAGGTGTCCTGGAAAGCTGGACCGGGACGATTAAAGGAATATGGAGGGGGTGACCTTGGCCCCCCCTCGCCGCTGCTGCCAAGCTAAGCTAGCAACCTGAGATCAGAGCACAGAAGCTCTGATAGAACTCTTGAGGTGGAGGCCTTCAACAGGAAGCTGCCCAAGACGTTCTGACTCAGGGGTGAATCCCCTGAGGAAGGGACCTTCATGGGGGTCTTACACCCCATGATATGACGTGGTGAAGCGAGTTTTGTCCCTGTTACTCAGCCCACGGAAGAGAAAGACCCTTGCTTGGAGACGAGGGGCCAAGGGGCTTGAATACCCCTCGTGTGTACTGGCAGAGATCCAGCTACAGCTGCTGCATGGAAGAGAGAGAGATAGACTGCTACTCTGAAGAGAACGCTGCTCTGAAAGTGGAAAAGATCTTTTCCTTCTTCCCTCCTGGACATTTATTTGGAGGGGAGAAGAGATTTGATCCATTGTAAATACTTTTATGTCATGGTAGAGATAGCTAAAGTTGTATATAATGTATTGTAGTATTTATTTGTACAGTCATTGTAATATATATTCCCTTTCCCCCATTTTGAGTCTCGTGTGGTGTCTGGAAAACCCATCTCACATTGGGTTGAGAGGTTGTTTGGACTAGGGAATTGGATTTTGGAGCTCTCAAACCATGACACAGGATAATCTCTAACCTTCTGTTGTTCTTCATTAAGTGAACACACAGACACACGTACTGACCTTTATCTACATTTCATAGAATGTTTTCACTTTTTCTCCAAATGCATTTCTCGATTCCAAGAAAGATTTACTGGGGGAAATCCCAAGAAAAAAAAAGAAAATGGTGACCTTTACAGTTTTCTGTTTAATTGTTCCACATTTATTTTTTGTTGTTGAATTGTGAGGTCTTCTCTAGGGTGTTTATATTGCTCTTTATCATATCTGAGCTAAAAATTACGGTTAAAAATGCAAAAGTTAGCAATTGCAGTTTTTGAACCAAATGTTTTAGTGATGGTTACTCATCTTTATGTTTAATGGTTTGTTAGTTTTGGAGCTGTGAAAATACTTCCTTCCATAAATAAGTTAATTCAAAAATTTCAAGTTTTTTCTATACATTAATATTTGTAGCTTTAAAAATTATATGAAAAAAAACAACATTGGGGGAAAACAGTCCCCCAAAATAGGAATTCCTTGTCTAATGTTGAAATGTCACTGTGTGTAATAGTAATCTAAATGCTAGGGTAGAATCATGAAGTAAATATGATTCTCTTATTAACATTTCAGTGTCTTACGTCTCCATCACTATCACCATCAAGTAGGAGAAGAGATATTCAGTAGTAGCAGGCAATAGCAATGATATAATAAGAAAGTACAGATGGAAATTCTTGTACTAAGACAAAGGGAGTGCCAGAGATCTGAAGACTCTTCCCATGAAGTATTTAGAACAGTGACTCAAAATAGGAAATATTTCAAGTTTGGAATATCTTTGTTTAAAAAATTAAGTGTTTTTTGTTGAGTGGTCTGTAGGAAGGGAGAACTACTCCTTTTTAAAGCTAGAAAATAGTCACATAAGTTTCTTTAGTCATAAATGCAGGGATTTTGAAACTAAACTCCTCGTTTGCTGGGCTTCTTATCTTGGCCACAGAACTTTGTTAGTGCAGCAGCCTTTCTTTCTGTTCTGTGTTCATCCTGAACACCTTTGCACTGCTGTTCCCTGTTGTGACATCAAGTGTCTTTGTCTTCTTTGTGCAGTGTGAAAAGGTAGGAGGAATTCAAATTGGAATGGGGTCAGCATATCAAGGGATGAGCTTCATGACCACCACCACCACTGGCAAGAACCTGTCTGTGGTCAGGCACATGCCCCTGTCCCCAGCATGACACTCCAAATTGCTTGCTCAATACGAGAGAGCTGAGCAGCACTTACACTTTCCAGAACGAAGGTGTCTATCCTTTAGCATCTAAAAGTACATTTGTATGTTGCTTTGTAGGCAGATGTGAACAAATCTAATTACCTCATTCAAAGTGTCATGATAACTGTGATGCAAAGCCTGTAGGGAGAAGCTGGTTTGTATACAGCAGTCTTGGAGCATGGGTGGATCAGGATCAGGATTCAAAAGGTTTTATTGCTATTTAGATTCTACTCCTACTCCCTCTGTACTACTTCTCCATTTTATCAAGAGTTCTAGTCTCATAACAAACGGTGAGTTTAAAGGCATTTTTATAGGGTATCTAAATTAATTAAATATAAAGAACATAACAGTATGGTTAAATCCATTTGTCACACTTAATACTGAAGGATTCCTAAGACACTTTCAACAGTGACATATATCCCAAAGAGGTAATCCTTCTGAGGAAGAAGTGGTCCATTAGGGGAAGATTGAACCTTGGAAACAGGAAGACAGACAGATATGTCATTATTTGAATGACCTTAGTACCTTAGGAGAGTTAGATACCAACAAAGAGGAGATGAAATAATAATTAAAAAACCCAAACAAAATCCAAAAAACTAAGAAGGAAAAGTTATTTAAAGCCTGTAAGGAACAAAGCACAAAGTAATATATTTCATCAGAAATATGTAAATGTATTCTGAATATTCTTCTAGAAAAAAAAAAGCACACTTTTTTTGAAAGAAAATTCTTCTCCTATAAATTTGTCATGAGTTCAGTATCTAAATTAATGTTATGACAAGGGCTTCAGGTGTCAGGATTTCCTGCAAAGGAAATTATTTTAACCTCAATCCAGAAATCAGAGGTTATGATGGGAGACCGTGCAGGCTTGATGATTAAAAGAGGATTCAGATAAAACTGTTTCCCAACTTCACTGCAAATTTTCTAATGAAATGACAAAGCTATCTTTCCTTTAAAAAGTGTTTCTGACAAAGTTCCGTATTTGAGGTTAATGACATGTCTACCTGGCTGGAGTCTTTGAAAAAAAGTGAAAAGTTGGCTGAGGACATGATGTATGAAGAAAGGAAACAAAAAGAAAAATAATTATAAATACTTATTCCCATGTTGGCAGAACTGCTAAATAACAACATTTAAATGAAAGGAACCCTCTGTACATAGTTATATCTTGTCCACGCCCAGCACCACTGCAGTCAGTGGAAACCTTACCTATAATTTCAGAGAACATAGAAAAATCAAGAGAAATTTTACTTTCAGTGTAATTATAATGTGGTGCTAGATATGCACTGTAGAGTACTTGTATATAGGAGACAACCACTCTAGAAACTTCAACCTGCCATTTAGATGGTAAATAACATGTGTTTCTTCTTACATTTTTTGATACCTTCATGTTGATACCACAGAGAGAAAGTTTCTAAGCTTCAGGGAAATTAATCACATCTTCATTACAATATTTCCTGCAAGGAAGTGCCGTAATTCCTATAAGGAAGCAATGTGACAAAGCATGCTTTTAGTGGTCCTTATAAAAATTGCTTCCTATCAGCTGAAAAAGCTGTTTTTATTGGTACCAATGAGTATAACAACTGATGCTGCTTTCATGAAGACGATTATGAAAGGGAGGTCAGCCTTATGAGACACAACTATAACCTTTTTTTCCACCCAGTGCTTACTGGGTAGAACAAAATTAGCAAATAACATGTTTAGGAAGCTCTTGCCTCTTAATCTGTAAAGGACTTTCACATAAACAATTGTTTTTAACACTACTTACATCTACAAGTGACTTTTGGTAAATATGTTAAGGAATAGTTAGTATACAAAAAATTTTTCTGGACAGTTTGAGATTGTTTCTCTAGAGTCTGTGAGGAACATGGATTTAAACTTAGTGATTTGTTGTGCAGAATTTTGTGGGTTATTCTGATGTTCCGTTTTTCAAACTGTTAGAGAAAGTATTAACTTCAAACCATTGTTCGGGTATACGAGTGTCAGGCAGTCTGCTAAATGTCAAATCCTATTGACTATAGTTGGTATTTGCATGGAAGTATTCAAGTTACTGGAATAATTTCCTTTTTCCTTGCCTGTCAAAGACTTTTGGAGAGTGGAAATACATTATCTGAAACTGTTTTCATGGCATTTTTATGTCATACTCTCTAAAATCCTGCAAGAACATGTTCACTTGTGGCTCAGTTTCTCTATTCTCAATGTTTGTCACATTATATCAGCTTCCCTAAAGGTTCTGTTGCTTCTGCCTGCAAACATTGGTTCATGTATCCCCAAACTGTCATGATTTCCATGCTACCCCAACCATTCTTTGCTTATATCTATTTAGTAGCTTCAACCAAAATATCAGTCTCTTCTTTCTCCATTTTTCCAAAAATAGTGAAAAAATATATAAAGAAAACCTTATGATACAATTGCTACCTTGGGTAGAATGAGGTCTGTCTGATATGATAATATGCCCTGTATTCCCAAGTTATTTACAAATCTAGCCCATTTTTGGTTATTTTAAGAATATTCTACTTGTCACTCTTCCCTTATACATCCAGGTTCTGCCAATTTCTCAGGCTTGCTTTCTCTGCAGGTTGTCTGTTATGTCAGCCCACAAAATAACATGAATACAATGCTGGTTTATATATAGTAATGCAGTAATGCATTTTAAAAATATACCGGCTATACAATAATTGTATGTGTCCAAGATAGCTTTCAATTGCTACAGAAAATAGAAAATGACAATGGTTTTATTACATTTCTGTTGAAGATCTGAAGTGTGCATACAAGTACCATTCTTCTTCTTAAATCTTTTGACCAAAAATCAGTTCTTCTTATCTTTTATGAATGAATATATATGGGAAATGTAATCAAATAGAGTGAAATTGCATCACTGTGAAGTTATAACCTGAGCATCCCTCCAGTTCCTGACTAATACATATAACAAGAGGGGACATACAAGTTCCTGAGGACTTGATCACAGACACATTTTTTTCAGGAAGCTTCAAATCTTTATAGGAATAATACACTTCTGTTGGTTAGCTTGCAAACATAATGCAAACGAGGGTTGCAAATACATAATGATTTCCTCAAAGGACTGCAAGAATTAGTCTGAATGAGAAAACCAGTTTCCACTGTAGTAAATTTAGAAAAATACAGACAAAATGTAAGGACAAATGTTGCATTTCTATTTGTATTCCTAGTAAAGGGAAGAATTAAATTGTGTATTTCAAAAATTCAGTTTTATTGCAAATATGTGGTGTTTAGCTAATTATAGATGCCTTGTGTGTTGGTGTAATTTCCCCAAATCAACACCTAATTATATATTTTTACTCATACTAATGACGAGTTCAAGAGAGCTGGAAGATTTCTTCAGTAAAAAATGAAGTTGGAGAGTGAGCAAAATCATAGCTGTTTGACACTGGGTAGCTTACCTTCAATCCCAGCTGGAGGGAACAGTGAAATAATGCAATTCCAAATACCCTTTTCCCGGGTTTTCTATTCCTTTTTACTGCCTGTCCTTAGCTGGATGTCTGGTAAAGCAAATTCAGCTATTACTTCCCATACTTACATCCTTAGAAAGAGGATGTTCAGTGATTAAAAATGTTTGAAGCAGATAGTAGATGAGAGTGAAAAATAATTGGACTAGGGTATTGATTAATGCACACTTTCATATTACTATGGAAAATATAATTTGGTTTTGATCACTCACAGACAAAAGCTTTCAGCTTATCTCCTCTCTCCCTGTTTTTCTTACTGCTTGTGTATCTTAGATGTTCTATTGTTTGTTAAAAATCACATTTTATTTTCATTTCTTTAATGTTAGTATTCATGAGGAAAAGAATGTGTTAATATCATTGTTATCTTGTTTTAGATAAAGATGGATTTGGAATGATTGATTCTCTGTAAGGAATATAATAGTCTATGTAGTTGGCTGCTCACAATGCTTCTGAGAAAAAGTTTATTAAGGATATTGAGATTTTATGAAAAAATATTCTGCAATATGGTGTGGTTATGTTTTAGGTTTTTATTTATAAGGTTTCCAATTGATATACTTTGTTTTTCATACATTCCTTTTCAAATCCTTTGGAATCTGGATTGCATAGATAAAACTACAGCTACTCTTGGGAAGAAAAATCTAGACAATGACTTAGCAATCAAACCTACAGTTAGTCCTATGTCTTTTAAAACTAACGATGATTTCTAAACAGTTTGATAACCTCAAGCTTTGGCAAAGGTAATATAAATGACTTTTAATTAGTTTCTCTTGGTATTTATAAGCATAAATTTTACACACAGTTTTATCACTTAACCACTTTCAATTATTAAGTATTCACAAACCAAATAGGCTTAAAGTGAAAACTTACATTCAGTAAGCACTATGTACGATTATTTTTCACTGCACACTAGTGAATATTGGGGCAGATGGGGATCTAGTATGGACAAAACAGAAGATTTTTTGGGGGAAAACAAGAACAATAGTATATAAATATTACAAAAACTGCCAACACAATAGATTGGTATTCATCTCCATGGATGTATCACAGAGTCCCTTTAAAAGACCAAATGACTAGTCATTATTTTGGTAGAGACTGATTACTTAGTTTCTTTCTGTTTCCTTTGCAATCACATAAGCATTGTGACAATAACAATGGAATCTACAGACAATGGATGCAGAATGTGATACATAGTGATCTTATCAGTAGACATTCTGCAGGAGACATGAAAGTCTCCTTTAGCAGAGTTACATGTAGCAATTCTGAATTTAGCCAAAGGCAACACTTTTAAAGAATGGTATTTGCTGCCTACTAGCTAGAGGCTTAGTAATACATGTGGATAAGTATCAGTGTCTTGCCATCTGCAGTGTCGAATCTATAATTCATAGGTGTTGACATGGGCCAAGGACCACTTCCAGTGAACAGAGTGGGTTGACACTAGTTTAGAACTAAGAAAGATTAACTTTATTGGGACAAGCTATGCTGTGCCAGCTGTCTACTGTGAGAAAGAATGGTCCCTTGACTGTTTAATATATTA